TAGAAGGCCACCAGGTTGGTCTGACAGGACCTGCCTCTAATGAACCTGTTTGTTGCCCCTAAGCATAATCTCCCCTGCTGGCCCCTTGTGGACATGTGCCAGAATAATTCTCTCAAAAAGCTTCCCCAGGACCGAGGGTAAGACTAGCTGGCCTATGGTTTCCTGGGTCCTCCTTTCTCCCTTTTTTGAAGATGGGAACCACATTGGCCCTCTTCCAGTCCTCTGGCACCACACCAGAGCACCACAAGTGCTTGTAAAGCTGTGCCAGGGGTCCCACAATGATCTCTGCTAATTTCCCTCAGCACGCTAGGGTGGAGACTTGTCCGGACCAGCTGATTTTTAAATACATCCAGTCCCTCCAGAAGTTCCCTGACTAGGTCCTCACTGACCCATGGCCTAGGTGTGCCTCCCCTGGGGACTGAGGGGGGCCCGGTGGAGGGTCTGATCCGGTCCCTGCTCATGAAAATGTAGGCAAAGAAGTCATTTAAATAGGTTAGCTTTGTAGTCTGATGTGACTACCAAATTTCCTAGCATGGAGTGGTGATCTCATTTGAAAGTTTTTATTAAAAAACAGAGAAGCTCTTCAAGAAACTATAATAACAGAGGACGTTAAAGTACCCAGGAGTGTAAGGCACACTGTAATTGATGAGGATGTCTTCTGGGTTCAGCTGCAGAACTCCCTGAAGATTCTTAAGTTAATTTCTTAAGCAGTCACTGCTTCAGGGTCAGACGTACCTTACCAAATGGCCCAGGTAAAATCAACTGTTTTGAGAATCTAAGCATATCTCTGCTTACAAGTACAGAAGAAGGAAAAGTGAAAGATGTTTTATTAATAGATGGGAAGAATTGTGTTGCCAATTTTAAGTTTTATGTTGTTGCAGCTCTCTTGGATTCAAGATTTTCTGGTAGTCAGTCCAGGAATGCAGCCTGGGACTCTGCCAAGTATATCCCTCCTGTAACATGGTGGCAAGGCCTTCCCATGACAGCCTCTGACTTTTCTTACTTGCCTGCTTCAGATTCATCCATCTTTTGCAGCATGTGAAAGAAGCTGGTCTGTTTGGAATTACTTGCACCAAATCAAGAATGAAACTAACATGTGAAAGAGTAGAGAAGCTTGTCTCTGTTGGCTTAAACTATATTTAAAGGCCTGTTTTTTGGGAACTGGCTTGTTAGGTTTTAGATACAGGGGTTAGAAGGAGTCAGGATGGGCAGCAGGGGTTATAGATTTCTAAAGAGCTTGGGAGATGCACACAGCTTCTCATGGCCCTGAAAATAGATGGGCTGTCTTGCACAACAAGGCCAATTGAGGGACAGAGCCTGAGAATTGAGGGGGGCATGTCATAACATGACATCACAGCCTTCAAGGCAGACAGGTTATCTTGCAGTCTAGAAAACTGTGGATGCAGTCTACAAAACAGTCTAGAAGGACACAGTCTAGAAAACAGCCTGGGAACTAAAGGAAGTATGTACCATGCTGTCCCGTAACAGGAGATCAGTAACACCAGCTACAAGGCCCCAGAGCTGCAGGGGGAACGGACCAAACTGAGAAGGCCCGAAAGGCTATGTGGACATGTGACCAGAGAGCAACAACCAACCAGAGAGAGCCATGAATGAAAAGTAATCAAGGGGGAAGGAGAATACAAAAGCAGAGACTTGAGAGTAACAAAGAACAGGGAGGAATGGGAGGGACCTTTTTTTCATCCCTCCCTGTCTCCCAGGAAGTGTCCCTGAGGCTACCATGGACTAGCATGCATACTAGCAGCCTGTCTCATGCACCCCACTGGAGGGGGTCTGTGGAACTCTGGATCCCACCTGCAGACTGCTGACACCTGAGGGAGCTACATCCTGACCAGATGTACTTTGACTCTGACAGCCCTAGGATTGGCAGATGTAGAACTTTGCTTGATTGCTTCTATTGTTGCTTTTTCTGTTTTTTACTTTGTATCAATACATTTTGTCTATCAGCTGGCAGGTGTTGTGCTCTTTCACCCTCCCTGGCATTCCTTCAGCTTCTCTCTTCTTTCCCTTTTTTTATCTTGGGTGTTTCTCACACTTCGCTCCTCTCCTTTCTTTTCTCCAGCTTTCCTTCCCTCCTCCTTGCGATTTCAGGTGCTTCTCCAGCTTCCCCTCTTGCTTCCTCAGTCTCCAGGGTGCTTCTGCAGCCTCTCTTTATTCCCCTCCTGTTTTTTTTTCTTTTGAGGTGTTTCTCCAGCTTGTCTGGTCTCCTCCTTGGTGTCCCTGTTTCTTCTCCAGCCTTTCTTCTCCCTCATGCTTTTCCAGGGTGGCTTCTCTTCCCTTTGCTGCCTCATGTGCTTCTGGGGGGTGTGGGGGGCACTTCCCCTGCTGTAAGTGATGGGCAGCAGGTGCAGTAAGATGCCAAGATGGCAGGCTTAGGTGCATGAGTTTTGGAGCTGCCTGAGAACAGGCAGTGAAAGGGGGTGGAGGCAGGCAGAAGTGCAGGCTGCTGAAAAAGCAGCCAGGAACACAGCTGGGCTCAGTGTGAGGAGAGAGCACAGCAGCAGGGAAATGTCAGAGGATGCCACCAGAGGGAGCCCAGGAAGCACTGTGAACCTGTAGTGGTGGTGGCATGCTTGGGAGACTCCCTGGGAGGAGATCCTGGCCATGTCACAGTGGGGCAAAGAAACTAGAGCAGTATGCCACAGAGGTACCTTGGGAGGAAGTAGCAGCAACCCCACTGCAGAATGCAGTGAGGGAGGCATGGGGATGAGAGGCGAGAGCAGTGCCACAGCAGCACTGAGCCAACTGGGAACCCATGAAGAAGGGTGGAAGTCAGGGGTCACTGGGTGGTAAGAGGTGGTGGCATGGGACCATGATGGCCTAAGGCCAAGCCAGGAGGGAGAGCCATGCAAAGCAGCCAAGGCTGGTGATGAAGAGCAATGCCGGGGGTGGACTACCCCATCCAGCCTCGGGTCAGATGGGGCTGAGGTAGGAAGTGGCAGGGACCCAGCAGAGGGCCCCCACAAGATGACCACCAGGGGCACAGGGGGGGAGCTGCTGAGCCTGCCTGGCTACCTTAAATGGGGAAAATGAGAGGCCCCAGCAGGGGACCTGTGGGGCCTGGGAGATGAAACCCAGGGGCCCATCAGTGGATGCTGATTTTCTGCTGATTGTTGGCATTATCCTTAAGTTCCTGATTTTACCTCAGCATTGAGGCAAGCTTTTTGGTTACAAAGGCTCTAGTCCAAGGTTAAAGGAGGATGGTCTGTAAAGAACTTATGGCTAGGAGGTCTTCAACCCTCAAGAAGTGGGATGGTACAGGTGAGAAGACATCTATAAGCAAGATCTCCAGAGGTGGATGGTCATCTTGGCTGTAGATGTGGCTGTAAGGGTGGGGTAAAGGGGAGGATGGAGCCCCACTTAAACCCAGGTGTAAGATCCCACATGCACCACCTGCTGGGAACTCTCTTCCAAGAGAAACATCAAAGGCAAAGCAGGCAAGCAGGAGCAGCAATCAGATCACAATACCTACCAGCGATGGCATCTTTGGCTTGCCTTATTCTCTTGGTGTCTCCCCTATTTCTTGGACCTCTATTCCCTCACCAATGGTGTCTGGGTGTCTTTTCCTCTCCCTCTTAGCCTTTATTGTGGTACTCAGCCTCTTTATTTTTTTCAACCTCCCCCACCCCCTGACTCTCTGCCTTGGTGTCTCAAGTATTATTCTAATAAGTTATTGTTCCTGCTCACTCACTCAGATCCACCTCCAGCCTCTCTTCCTTCATGTAGTAACACAGCTGCTTCCAGAGCTGTATGTTGTATGTCATCTTTTTTTTTTTTTGCAGTGCTATGTTGTATGTCTTTTTTTCAGTGCTTCTCTAATGGCTCATTTTTTCCACCCCCACCCCACCTAGCCTATCCATCCTCTTGGTCTTGGTCTTGCAAAACATGCTCTTCCTCTCGACTTTTTGCCTGGTTGTTCATCTACATCTCTAGTCTCTCTTCCCCCTTGGTCAGAATGCACCCCCACCCCCAGCTTGTCTCCTTTCACTGCACTCTTTCTTAATCACCACCTTTTTCTGGGTTCTCTATGGTCCACCTTTCCTGACCCCTTTGCCAGGATGGGAGTTCCTTGGTCATCTGAGCTTCTCTCTAGTCCTTGCTGACTTGCTCAACTTTCCAGTCTACCTGCCATCCCTCTTTCCATGGGCTCCTAACACTGCTTCTCTTCCCCTACTGGTGTGCCAGCCCAGTACAAGTGTTCCCATTTACTTTATCTTGTGGAAGAAATCAAACTGTGTTGTGGTTGAATCAGAACTGACAGAGCCAGCTTTTCTTCATTTAGGGTTATACTGTGACCACAGGGAGGATTTTGTACAGCAAGGGGAATTGCCCACTTGTCTGTTTCAAAGGAATCTTCCCCGTCTCTAAGTTTTCAAGCATTTTTATACTTAAGACAGATAAAGAGGAAAAAAACATGACCTTGGAGAAACTAAAACAAATTTCCTTATTACCCTTTTCACAGAGCCCTCATTAAGACATGCAGGATTTTTTATCTCAAAACATATAACTGAAAAAAGCAGCACTTCTGGTCTCTGTTTTTTCTAGTCAGGTAGGCCAGAAACCGACTAAATTTACTCTTACAATCTGCATCTTCTGCTCTATTGATCTGTTCCTTGTCATCATCTTTGCATCTCCATTTTTTTTCAGTCTGTTCCCAAGTCTTTGCTTCCTTCCGGCCCTATTTAGTCATTCCCTTCAAGCCACATCATGTTGACTCCTGGTAGCATCCAGCTTGTAGCTGTGGTGGAGATGGCTGGAGTAGCCCGAGATGGCTTTGTAGCAGGCAAACTGAGTTATGCTAAGGCTTTTTAGTCATAGTCCAGGCCTTCCTAAGCAACAAAATTGAACAGAGCACCTTCTGTGGCACTAAGATGCGAGTGCTGTGACTGGGCACTAGGGGAGCAAGGTTCAACAGATTCTCTATAAGGAATGTTCCTGATAGTGCCAGGGGATTGGTGTACCATATAAGAAATGCTTGGGGTGCAGCTGGGGATTAGACTGTCTTGAAATGAGATTACAAAAGTAATGGCCAAACAAAGAAATTTGCATGTGTTACCATGCTGTGACCCTGGGAGGATAGATGCAGCTGCTGGGTCCCTGCTCAGACACCAGGGAGCCAGAAACTAAGATCCAACACAGCCAGCAGCAGACTCAAGGCCTGGTACCCCCAAAGGTCACTGCTGTAGTGTCTAAAGAGCCACTTGTCAGTTTGTACTAGGGGGAGAAAACCTCTAATAGTGTCTGTGGGTTTATATTAAAGTTCATTTTACAACAACGGTTGAGTTGCTGTGTCAATCCTTGGAGGGCTCTGGCAAAAAGAACCCCAGTAGTAACAATTAGCAAGCCAGGCAAGAGCCAAAGATGGATTGATGGTATCATGTTGGAAACTATAGCCAGTAGGTAAAGTAACCTTCAGGGATCAGGGAATGAAGATGGCTAACTGGAACTCTGTTTTCCCCTTTGCCACTTGCACTAAGGATGCTAGGGAGAGCTAATTCTTGATCAGAGTAGTTCAGGGCAAGTTGTATAATAAAACATTATGTTGCTGTTCCCCTACTGTCCTACCACACGAGTGCTACTACACAATCACCCACCTCGCTGCCTGACCAAAATCCCACTTTGGGTGTCTCTCCCTGGGGTGCCTAAGCTTGGCCAACCCCCTTCTGGTGCACACGCACAAGCCTGGGGTGATTGCTGCTACCACCTGTGCCCTGGTCCTTGTTAGAGCTCTTGGGATACACAGACCCTCTGACCTTGCAGGTGCTTAGCCCACCATGGTATTTTGGGGTACTTTTTAGCCTGAAGCATTCACAAGTAGCCTCCTGTATGGGAGAAAGCTAAAAAGCCATGCCCATCTTAGCCAGCCAGCTGAGTGAAACAGGGCTTTAGAGGCTAGTTGCACCATTATAAGCATTTACAGCGAGGAGTGCTATAACAGATTCTTTTGTATTCCTTCCTCACTCTCTTCCTCTCTGATCAATGTAAAATTGAAAGAAAACCTACTTAAGCAAAAGGTACAAAAGGAATAGGCTTGTTGGCCCTTTTTGGTATGTATGTAGTTTACTTACCTGAAATTTAGCTAGTAACTTCAGATTAAGTAACTTGCATGTTCAGCTAGATACTGATGGTTCAACAAAAGGCCTGTTGCTAGTTTCAGGGTCCCAAAGATGACTGACCTCTCCATTTTGGAGTGACACCCTTTTAAAACATTCATGACATCACTAAGTCCCAACCAGAAACAGGCAGTATTGGATGCAGACCAAATCTTTTAAAAGTAGTCAGCAGATTTGGGGGGGGGGGGGG